TAAAATATATTCCATTTATATTTACTGTCAATATTCCATCATGATACTATCCTCCAGAATGATCTTTTGGTGGTGCTGCCAACTCTCTTTGCGTTTTTCTTTGTTTGTTATCAATTTCTCCACTATTAAAAATAAATTATAACAAATATTCATATTAAGATATGAAGTGGTAAACCTTATAAAACCAAAATTCAATTAACTTATGTATTCAACTTAAGTTTGACCAGATCTAAAAACAATTCTTCCAACAATAAATTGACAAACCAGCTTCTTTATTGATATTCACTGTTACAATCTTTGATATATATTATCAGTCCATTTCTCTAACCAATTGGTTCTAAACTTGTATCCATTTGGATATTTATATAAAATATCTATTTTATCCAAATCAACATAATCATCAATTGTAGATTCTTCAATAGTAACTTTGTAATGATTTAGGACTGTTTCTATTTTTGAAATTTGAGTAGTGATATTCTTACAAATACTTGATTCTATCTATAAATACATACAATAATAATGTTACGCATTTACTAATGATCATCTTAGTATGTGATGCCAAGAGACATCTACTTTAATAATAAATTGTTCCTCAAAGTTTTTCCATTCATTTTTCGTAAAGAGGCCTCTTAATTGATCGAATTTATTATTCTCGGGCAGAAATATTATGCCATAACGAGCAATTCCTTTATCAATTGTTGTAATTCTATTTTACCACTCGCTCCCTTTCTTTAAATAAGAAATTTGTCAATATTTAATTATTATATGGTTTGGGTCAACATTTCATAAAAAGATACAAACTTCTAGTGGGCGTATGTCAAATCATTGTCGTCATCGTGATCAACATTATCTGGTATATTTAGAATAGCAATGAGTAATCAGATTGAATTTAGGAGAGCGTGCTTTAATTGGTGATAACAATTATTTTTGTTTTGTGTGGATCAGAATGAATAGGGATCAATGAATTGATTTTGTTATTAGCGAATAATTTTGGGTAAAGATAAAAGTTTTAAATAAAATATTACTATTTATTTATTTAGTTTTATTTAGTCGAAACCAATTAACTTGTTAGAAAGTTATTTTACAAGTACATTGAATTCAAGCTCCTTATATACAATTCAGAAATTCTAATATCCCAAATTGAGATATTCTATCAATATTGAGAAGTTATCCCAAAATTGAGACGATATCTCAAAATTGCATGGATATCCCAAAATTGCGAGGATATCCCAAAATTGTGAGGACATTATACAAATAAAAATTAATGAAAACAAAACAAGCAAGCGTCATGCGATTGCAAACCTCATAACTATAGAATTATAATTTTTCTACAGGCAAGGCAATTGAACAAATTAGGAGGCTTCAGACAAGGAAGAGGCTTGACACAATGTGATAAATAACTTCAGAGCGTCGTTACCCCTCCCCGAAGTTTAATTCCATTCTTATATCATCGGGAGATCAAGTTAGATTGGCCTTTTCCACAAAGAAGATGTAAATAATTGTTATCAAATCGTTTTTTAGTGTTCCCAGATTATCCGATAGCAGTTTCCTATATGTATGTGTATATATATATATATCTTTATGATTATGTTGTTGCATTATAATCATTTTAATGATAATAATGAATGTTCACGCAAAACAAATATACCAATCGTTTGTTTATTATCACGCGCGACAAGGAGAGTACTTGAATAAGCTTCTCCTTACTGCATCCACTCTGATTCTGCAGAAAGTATAGATATCCTACCTTTTATTAAGTGTATCCAGTGAGGCAACTAACTGCTATTTGCTGAGTGATACCGTGGAAGAAGACTTGCTGGGTGGTCAAGATTTGCTGAAGAGTCACGTAGCAACTGAGGCATAGGATTTGGCACGCGTTATCTGTTGGAATATATTTTAATAATATTATTATAATATTTATTATTATTTAACAATATACCAATTGTTTGTTTATTATCACGCACAACAAGGAATCATATCTTGCATAAACTTCTCCTTACTGTCTCCACTTCGATTCTGTAGAATGCACTTAAAAGTATAGATATCATTCCTACCTTTTATTAAGCGTGTCCAGTGAGAAAACTGGCCTGCTATTTGCTGGGTGACGCTGATGGAGAAGACTTGCTGGGGTGGTCAGGATTTGGAGAAGAGCCACGTATAACTGAGGAATAGGATCTGGCACGCGTTATCGGTTGGAGTGTATTTTAATAATATTATAATATTTATTATTATTATTTTTTTTTAATGTTGCTTCATGATGATCAATGATTTTCATGGCGTAGCTGTGAAATAATCTATGTCTCCATGGAATAGCTGATTTGTCAAATGGAGACTAACGCCCCGTGATCTAAAAAGTTTGTTTTATTGTTTATTTTTTATACAATAAAAAATCTACTGCTCTTTCATTTCAAAAAGCTTCAGAGCTTCGACATCTACTTTGCCTCAAATAGAAATGGCTGATTCAATTTCTCACGTACTTAATATCATTTGAAATTCAAGTCAAACATAATTTTTATTGTCAAAAAGCTCTAGTAAAAAAAACAAAAAAAAACACAACATCTTGCTACTATGAATATTTCAACTCGTGCCATAGAACCATCAAGTATGTCCAAGTTTTTTTTTGAAAGAAAGTTCCTATTTTTTAACTGTCATTTTAATACCGTGATTTTTTTAAACCTTAATAATTAATAATGTACATATAGCAGCAATTTCTTTATAGCATGGATAATAAAGTGAAATAAATTATATTTCCACGGTCTTCAAAAGTTGATTTATGAACCAATTAATTTAGTCTTTGCGTTATTATCACTTTTATATACAAAAATAGATGGAACACTAAAAAACGATTTGATAACAATTATTCACATCTTCCTTGCGAAAAAGGCTAATCTGACTTGATCCCCCGATGATATAATAATGGAATTAAACTTCGGGGAGGGGTAACGACGCTCTGAAGTTATTGATCACATTGTGTCAAGCCTCTTGCTTGTCTGAAGCCTCCCAACTTGTTCAATTGCCTTGCCTATAGAAAAATTAGAATTCTATAGTTATGAGGTTTGCAATCGCATGACGCTTGCTTGTTTGTGAAAGGAAAATTTTATTAAATCTGACACCCATAATCAGGGTTGGCGTTGGCTGTTGATCCAAATCCGCCACCACCATATGCTGACAATAATCACACGTAATATCAAGTGTAGGATCAACATCAACATTCCTACCACCTCAACCTCAATCACCACCTCAATCTCAATCACCAACCCAATCAAATTTACCACCAATTAAACCTCCAACATCAAGAACACCAAGTTACAATAGAAATTGACATGTCCGATGCCAACCCTATTTATAATAAACGTCAGATTTATTCATTTGGTAATTATTTTAAAAAAGCTCTACAACTTGTAATTGTGTGCAATTGGAAAGCGCACACACACAAGAAAAGGGAACCAAGTAGAGGAAAAGGATTTTTTTATATCCAACTCTACCAAATTCCCCGTATTCTACCCGCCAGGAAGGACATCATTATGTGGCTTTTTTAAAATCACTGCATGGTCTTGGTATTATCATTACTCGGGTGATGCAATTGTATGTTATACCAAAAATGTATTTTTGATTCAACCAAAAGAAAAATACTTTATATAACATGTTGAAAAATAAATAAATTGAATACAGAAATGTATGTGCTGTATATAATAATGGGCTTAGCAAAATCGGCGGGGAAAGAAGATCCTGTTGGACTTGACTCTGGTTTGAAATTGGGAAAGAGACATATTAAGGTAAGTGGGGGTGATTCAGCACAAATGGTGAAATACCACACACAACCCCTTATCGTTTTTTTTTACTGAGTGTGGTGGGAAAATTAGAACATATGAACCAATCTAACATTAAACCCAAGAATTATAGTACTATTAGATGCATTTTGAAAAAGCAACAATGTGAGAAATTGCTCTTTATGTTTTTAAAATAAATGATACTCGAGTACCCGAGAATTATTTAAGGAAAGATGAAGCTACTAAAAGAAAGAAAAGTAATAAGCACTAGGAAAGAAAGTGAGGTGAACAACTATGTCCTTTTAGCAATATAAATGATAATAGTTATATTAAAGTTATAACTGCCAATCAAATCAAATAGGCTTATTATCAACTTTTCTCTTTGTATGTATATGTATGTTTTAAGATATAGTTCTTATATTCTGTTTGCTTTGGCAAAGTATTCATCTTTTAGATCATTAACTACGATAGTTTGACATAGTAAATATTTGGTCCTTGTAGATGGAGAATAGTTTTATAAACAAACAAATCAATTATCCCGCTGTAGATCCTTTTTCCACATTATCATCAATAAAAATATCAAAACCAGAATGAAAATACTTGACTCATTCATATTTGGTGAATTTTTTCTTGTTTCGATGAAATTGACATTGCCCACCCTACTACATGTAGTTATTACCTGTACATTTTCACCACTTAAAAGACAAAAGAGGAAATTTTAATTAATAGAGAAGTTTTTCAAACAAAATAATTAATATTGTGAAGTTTCTTAAATTCGTTTTCAAACAAAATTATAATAATTAATAATGAGAGGTTTTATTTTTCGTTATATTGTTTAAATGGTTTTAACATACATTAAGTTTTATGCGTGTAACATAATTTTTAAAGTAAAAAAACTATTATTATTCAATTAAAGTGGGATATATGTCCATAAGGTCACACCTTCGGGACCCACAAAAACCTGTGACTGAGAGATGTGTGACCTTATGGAGGATCCAATATCATATTGCATTTATTATCTGTTATTATAAAGACGATTACAAAAATAATTAGCACCATTTGTTAATATTCAAGGTATGTATATTTTATAATAATTGTATATTATATATTGAATATATCGCATATCTAATAAAAAAAATTTATAGTATAATTTCTTTTTGGAGTTTTTCCCGAGACACATTTATATTGGAACAACTGATGGTATTGGTTTTACTCGGTGATGAATTTTTCAATTCGACTGTCTATGAGGTTTCTTGGTTTCGGGAAATTGAAAAAGATTTTCTTGCATGAAAATAATTTTTTGCTGTGGAGTTTAGCGTTTTTTTCAGGATTCTGACTTTTGGTCATTATTAGATGCAAGACTTTTTTATTGTTCAAAATAGCTATGAAAGGTATTCAAAGATACTTGTGCTTCCTTATCATTGATTTGATGTGGCTCTTCATCACTGTCTGGTTCATCATTATTAGTGGTGACCGTTTGGACTATTTGTTCTTCTGTAAGTAATTCGCTTGTAGATGGATTTTGAGTATGGTTTAAATAGTCATGGAATCCAAGAATTATAACACTATCAATCTCATTTGCATAAACATCATAAGGTTTAATCTAGAGAAATGGGGTCAAGACCCCTGGGAAAAGAGGAATTGATCTCGTGAGGCGTATTTACTACCAGATAATATTAATATTCTGGTCCATCTGATTCGAATTCAAACCCATTTGTCAAAGTGCCTTTGCCTTTTTTTCCCATTTTTATGTTTTTCTTTTTGCCTTCCATGCTTATCTTTACTTTTGGCATATTTGCATTGTCATTCTTGTAGTTAGTTGTCCAGTGTTGTAGTTATGGATAGGCATGATCTGGCTCGTTGTAAGCACACTTTGTGATTGAAGTGGAGCCAATTGATTATTTTCCCGTTGAGCAATATCACAGAGCCTATGTGCAGAATCAGTAATTCTATTAAGCTTACCTACAGCATCTCTTGGGTTCAGATTAGATTCGTGCGGTTTCTAGATCTCTGCGTCCACGCTGAATTATATATAAACTATGTCATCGATCTCATTCTGATTAGGAGGTTGTTGTGTTTTACATTGATTGATCATTTTGGCTTTATTAATGAAAATCTTATCTTCCAATCAAAAAAAAAAGTAATTTATTGAAAATTCGATTAGTCTATCACATATTAATTACATTTCATAAATTCTTTTTCGGTAAATCAAAAAAAATCCAGAGATCAATTAAACAATTATATAAAAAACTTCATCTGAAACAAAATAAAAATTCAGGGAGAAACGCGTATAAAAACAATGCAAAGCGATGCACTTTCATAGAAACTGAATAATTCCCGTACAACGTAAAATTGCTAAAAATTGAAAATTCGGTAATTAACACTAATTAGAAAATTAGAAAGAGATATGTGGTGGTGATACGGTTAATGATCTACATATAATTTATATTAATATCAGACAGGTCTTTCGCCCTTTTTTCCTCCTCTAATTAATTAAATAATAAATAATTATGACCGAAGGAAATAATATAACGAGCTTTCAAGAAATTTATTCTATGCCATTTGATATAGATAAATGGGATTATGATCAATTCAATAATCCAAATAAATTCCAATGGATAATTGGCACCACGCCATTTTCAAACTGGCAGGTATATTTAATATAAATATTAAAATGATCATTGTTACTTTATGGATTTTTTTTTAATCAAAATGATCAATTGATTTATTAATGTTAATTTCTTTAGTTTGTAGTTGGATCATGGGGAGTTTATTTTTCAACTATAATTGGTTTAAAGGTGAATTAAAATGTCAAGCTTTAAAATTTTTTTAAACTAGCAAAATAACTGATTGGGAGGGTGAAAACTGGAAAAAGCCAAGAGACAAAGGAGGATCACAACCCTTGAAGAACATGAAATACTTGATCTTCCATTGAAATGTATGGTGAGCCAACAGAAGAGTTAATTAAAGAAGTGAAAAAAAAACTGGATGGATCACTGAAGATTAACTAAATATATTTATAATTGCAGTAAAACAAGGAAGGGTAAACAACAATATTAATGTTTTAATTATTTATTTGTATGTCATTATTAATAAAAATATTTAACAAATTTGATACCATTCATTGTTGGAATAATTAATCTATACCACTTTACACATAAATGTATTATCATCTCAAAGATCCTTATTCTTTAGATTTAGATTCATAAATAATAATTAATATTCAATAATTATATATTGAAAAATATTTGCTAATTATCCCAGGCTGGGTGAAATATCCCAAGTACAAAGTAGGATAATTATCCCAAAC